CATCAACTTTTAGAATGTTTTAACTTTTATTCACTATATTCAATTAATTATTACAGCTGCTGAGCATAAACATGTTATTAACAAACATGTTTTAAACACTGTATTATATTCACACTCAAGTGGCGCTGAAGTTTCGAAGGTTTTAAACACTTGTTTGTGAGGATCTCCAGACAGACAACACATTTCAGGCAATCATGGCCATTTTTCTGTAGCACTGTAAAGCCATGCTTAATGTTTGCTTCCTCGTACCTTCAGATTTGAGCTGGCCATGAGTTCTTTTTATTTTTTTGCAGCAGTTTCCACCACAGCAGGGCTGCTGGTCGGTTCCTTCGGTCTTTTTTAGAAACGTCTTCATTTCATCCTTGCTTTTCTTGAAGAGTAAAACAGCTTGATACATTTGACTGACAGCCAATCAGAAAGATGAAAAATATTTTTATATATTATAAAATAGAAAAATATAAAATAATTATTGAAAAATTGATTTGATTTTATTACAGTAAATTAAAATATTTAAAATTTTATTTAAAATTTTGTTTTTGCTTTAAAAAAAATCTGTTTCTCTCCAGTTTTCTGAGGCCCCCTCTAGGGCCCCCCAGGGGGCCCTAGCCCCCACTTTGAAAAACACTGAGCTGAGCAACGATCCTCACCCACACATAATAATAATAATGTGTATGTGTTGTCATCACTACTGTATGTTTCCATACAATGGTGAAATTGGCTCTCTGCATTTAACCCATCCACCACCAGGTGGAGCAGTGGGCAGCTATGGAAGGCGCCGGGGAGCATTTTGGGGATAAGGTGTGCTGCTCAGAGACACCGTGAGATGTGCAATGATTTGGGATCAAATCTGGGAGTTTCAGATCCTGAGTTGACTGCTCTGCCTCTACACCATCTCAGCCCCCCCCCCCCCTCCCCATCCTGTAATCCACTCAGATTAAACAAATACAGATGAAACTGACATTTACACTGAAAATACTAAAAAACATATTAAAAATACTACATACTAAAAAACATATAAAAATACTACTAAATACTACTAAATACTACTAACATACTAAAAATACTACTGAAATACTACAAAACAAGGTGCCTAAATTGAAAAAGAAATACATCTATAGTGTGATTTGGTTAGCAGTGAGATTCTTTCATCATCATGGTTCTGTTTTTTTAGGGCGTGGTCTTGTTAGCAGCTTAGCAGGTCCTGTTAGCAGCTTGATGGTAATAACGACCGCAGCAGCTGTCCTCACAGACCGCAGTCTAGAACCGGGTCCAACAGACAGAGAACATCCAAGGTTTCCCTGCGGACCCGAACAGGTCCATAGAGTTCGGTCCGTGCAGGCAGATGAAGACTAGCGTTAGCAGCGTTAGCAGCGTTAGCAGCGTTAGCAGCGTTAGCAGCATTAGCAGCGTTAGCAGCATTAGCAGCGTTAGCAGCGTTAGCAGTGTTAGCAGCGTTAGCAGCATTAGCGGGTCCTGCTAGCAGCTTGATAGTAATAACGACCGCAGCAGCTGCCCTCCCAGACCATCCTCCAGAATCGTGTCCAGCAGACAGAACATACAAAGTATAAGGTTTCCAAAGTTTTGTATTTGTACAATCCAAGGGACTGTATTCAGATTACTGAATGTTTGGAAGGATGATGGGAGTCCAGTCCACCTCTCAACCTCTGGACTAGAGGTTGACCATTATTAGTTTTCTATGTCAGTTTTTAAAAACCAGGACAGTTGATGACCGACATACACAATTCCTTGTACATTCTTTAATAAAATCTAATAGGCACTTAACTTTTCAATCAGGGTTCGATCCCCAGTCATTGCGCACCTCGTGGTGTCTCTGAGCAGGACACCTCATCCCCACTTGCTCCCCGGGCGCTTTCCATATCTGCCCATGGCTCCACCTGCTGGTGGATGGGTTAAATGCAGAGAGCCAATTTCCCCATTGTATGGGAACATACAATGATGACAATGCATAACACATTATTTATTATTAACTGATTAAATGTAAAGTATATTTACCAACCCTTAGCAGAGCTGTTCACTGAACAATAGTTTAGAAAAGAGTATTCTTATTTAAAAAACAAAGAGTGGGCCGGTTGTAGCAGCTGCCTCTGCACTTGGTAAATGATTAATCATGTAAAGGCATGATCGATTGCTGATTTTTAAATAGTGGTAAATATAAATAAGACTGGTCATCAGTTTACCTGTACTGGACCCCAGAGAAAGTGTCTCAGAGGGTTGTTTGAGGGAAAATGATTTCAGCGCATAAGGAAGCAATTCAAGGGTTCAAAGCATTTCCTGTCAGTTCTGAACAGCCTCTCAGTCATCTGAGCTGCTCTGGGTTTAGTTTAGTTTCGAAGCCATTCAGAAGAGATGAATTAGTCAAGTCAGTGTTGTGTTCTGACAGCTGATCCAAATCCTGTCTGTCAGTCAGTCAACCTCTTTGACAGATAGAAGGAGACAGTCAGGGCTCGTTCTTTAATCAGACCTGAGCTCCACAAAACTCAGCTCAGTCAGCACATCAGGTCCTTTTTATTTTGCCTGTAGCTGCTCAAACATCTGAACATCATCATTCTGAGTCCCGCTGAGGACTCTGTGTGTGTTTGTCTTTATATTTGTTACCTTGTAAGACCCACTTTTCCAAGACATGCATGGTGACGCAGTTGGTAGAGCTGCTGTCTCTCAGCGAGCAGGTCGCCCCATTAAAAAATCCTGGTCCGGGGGCCTTTCTGGGTGAAGTTTGCATGTTCTGTCCGTGCATGCGTGGGTTTTCACCGGGTACTCCAGTTTCCTCCCACAGACCAAAAACATGCATGTTAGACTGATTGGTAACTCTAAATTGTCCCTAGGTGTGAGTGAGAGAGTCAGTGGTTGTTTGTCTCGTTTGTCTCTATGTGTCCCTGTGATGGACTGGAGACCTGTCCAGGATGTACCCTCTAGCACAGTGATGACTGGATATGGGCACCAGTGACCCCTGCAACCCTAAAAGGGAGAAGTGGGTAAAGATCATGGATGGATGTACACTACATTGTGAGGACCAACTGCTCCTTATGAGGTCCAAAGCCCAGGCCCGATGAGAAGAAGTACTGATGGTGTGTTAGGAGTTAGGTTTAGGACTAAGGTGTGAAATAGGGATGGGTTAGGTTTAGAGTTAGGTATGTACTGGTTAGGTTTAGAGTTAGGTATGTACTGTTAATGGTTAGGGTTAGAGTTAGGTATGTAGTTAATGGTTAGGGTTAGAGTTAGGTATGTAGTTAATGGTTAGGGTTAGAGTTATGTATGTACTGTTAATGGTTAGGGTTAGAGTTAGGTATGTACTGTTAATGGTTAGGGTTAGGGTAAGGGTATGAATGAAAAATGAATGGAAGTCATTGTAAAGTCCCCGTAAAGATGGAAAGACAAACTTGTGTGTGTGTTTGTCTGTCAAGTGAAAGTGCCAGCTGATTTTACCAGGAATGCTTTGCAGCTTGCAAGCTTTGTGTTATAAATACTCTGACACACGGGTGTCAGTTACACGACAGCCGAAAGCAGCTGCTGAACAGACGAGCGCTGAGCCACTCCCTGCTCTGTAGGATCACCTGGCTCTGTGTGAGGGATTCCACGCAACAAGCCACCTGTCCTGTGAGCTCACTGAGCCTTAGGAAGGATCCAAACACAACCTGCTGAAGACCCACTTCTTCTGTTACAGTGTGTTTGGTCACCAAAAAAAAACCTGCTAATGGCCACAGAGAGAGCTGGAAGAAACATGATGTGTGTTTGGGGCTTTATTGATCCTGTTGGCCTGTAGATCTAGAAAAAGTTGGACTTGAATGTTTGCACAGATGTGCTTTTTCTTTTCCGATCATCTTACTGAGTCCTTGGTGCTTTTAACACTTTTGAAGTCCATTTGTTTTGAATTTTTTAATTTGGCAAAGCAATGTTTTACTTTATGTCTGTCTTGAAAAACAAGTGATATACTGACGTTCATTTTAATGTGAGGCTGCATCTGGGTGTAAGAAAGGTTCCTTTAGAAAACTGGCTTGCCTTGTCAAACTTCAAGATGGCTGCTGCCATATAT